GTGGGATTAAGACCTTAATTGTGAATTAATTATGAATTATTTATTAGTGCACACAGAGGTTCCAGTGGGAAACCCCAGAATCCCAGGATGGTTTGGGGTTGGAAAAGAATTTAGGGCTGAACCCATTCACCAAAATCACAGAATTGTTAAAGTTGGAAAAAACCTTTGGGATCACCAAATCCAACCATCAACCACTCCTCCATTGATGGAGAAATTGCTTTGTCTGGACAAAATTCTGATATTTGGTGTCCCAAAAAGGGGAGATTTTGGGAGATTTTGGTAAATGTCTGATTTATTTGGTGTGGAAATTCCTGTAAAAATCAGGAGTTGTTAAGGTTGGCAAAAACCTTTGGGATCACCAAATCCAAGCATCAACCGTGGTCACCACCAAACCAAATCTGCATTTTTTGGGAAAACTTCCAGGGATTGTGATTCCACCTGTCCAGAGGAATAACCATGAACACTTGTGGGATTAAGACCTTAATTATGAATTATTCCTTATTTATTAATTATTATGAATTATAAATTATAAATGAGTATTTCTTAATTATTTGGTCGTTATTAAATATTAATTAATTGATTAATTAATTTTAAATTATTGATTTAGTGCACCGAGGTTCCAGTGGGAAAATCCTGGAATCTCAGGATGGTCACCCCCAAACCACATTTACATTTTTGGGGAAAATTTCCAGGGATTGTGATTCCACCTGTTCAGAGGAATAACCATGAACACTTGTGGGATTAAGACCTTAATTGTGAATTAATTATGAATTATTTATTAGTGCACAGAGGTTCCAGTGGGAAAGCCCAGAATCCCAGGATGGTTTGGGGTTGGCAAAGAATTTAGGGCTGAACCCATTCACAAAAATCACAGAATTGTTAAAGTTGGAAAAAACCTTTGGGATCACCAAATCCAAGCATCAACCACTCCTCCATTTATGGAGAAATTGCTTTGTTTGGGCAAAATTCTGATATTTGGTGTCCCAAAAAGGGGAGATTTTGGGAGATGTCTGATATCTCCGTATTTCTGGAGATTTTGGTAAAAATCTGATTTATTTGGTGTGGAAATTCCTGTGAAAATCACAGAATTGTTAAGGTTGGAAAAAACCTTTGGGATCACCAAATCCAAGCATCAGCCGTGGTCACCACCAAACCAAATCTGCATTTTTTGGGAAAACTTCCAGGGATTGCGATTCCACCTGTTCAGAGGAATAACCATGAACACTTGTGGGATTAAGACCTTAATTGTGAATTATTCCTTATTTATTAATTATTATTAATTGCAAAGCATAAATAAGTGAGTATTTATTAATTCTTTGGTCGTTATTAAATATTAAGTAATTGATTAATTAATTTTAAATTATTGATTTAGTGCACCGAGGTTTCAGTGGGAAAATCCTGGAATCTCAGGATGGTCACCCCCAAACCACATTTACATTTTTTGGGGAAAATTTCCAGGGATTGCGATTCCACCTGTTCAAAGGAATAACCATGAACACTTGTGGGATTAGGACCTTAATTGTGAATTAATTATGAATTATTTATTAGTGCACAGAGGTTCCAGTGGGAAATCCCAGAATCCCAGGATGGTTTGGGGTTGGCTGGGACAATTTCCACTCTCCCAGGTTGCTCCATCCCTTTCCCACCGGTTCTTGGGCACTTCCAGGATTTTATTCTCGTGGATATTGAGGCTACAAAAGCCAAAAAAGCTTCACCTGCCTGAATTTCAAATGATTTCTCCATTTTGTGTCATTGCTGTGCTAGGAAATCATTGGATTCTTCATTAAAATTCTATTTTTTTCCATGAAAAAGAAGGAATGGCACAGGGATAATGTTCATGTTTGTTCCATGAAATCATTGGATTCCTTGTTAAAATTCTGGTTTTTCCACGAAAATGAAGGAATGGCACAGGGATAAAGCCCCATCTTTGTTCCATTGGATTCTTTGTTAAAATTATATTTTTTTCCATGAAAATGAAGGGATGGCACAGGGATAACGTTCATGTTTGTTCCATGAAATCATTGAATTCCTTGTTAAAATTCTGGTTTTTCCATGAAAACAAAGGAATGGCACAGGGATAACGCCCATCTTTGCTCCATTGAATTCCTTGTTAAAATTATAATTTTTCCATGAAAATGAAGGAATGGCAAAGGGATAACGTCCATCTTTGCTCTATGGAATTATTGGATTCCTTGTTAAAATTCTATTTTTTCCATGAAAATGAAGGAATGGCCCAGGTATAATGCCCATCTCTGTTCCACTGGATGCCTCATTAAAATTCCATTTTTTTTCCTCGTTAAAATTCTATTTTTCCCATAAAACCAAAAGAACATCACAGTGATAAACTCACCTTTGCTCCATTGGATCCCTCATTAAAATTCAATTTTTTTCCTTGTTAAAATTCTGTTTTTCCCATAAAAACAAACGGATGGCACAGTGATGACACCCACCTTTGTTCCATTGGATCCCTCATTAAAATTCTCTTTTTTTTCCTCGTTAAAATTCTATTTTTTCCCATAAAACCAAAAGAACATCAAGGTGATAACACCCACCTTTGCTCCATTGGATCCCTCACTAAAATTCTATTTTTTTTGCTCATAAAATTCTATTTTTTCCCATAAAACCAAAAGAACATCACAGTGCTAACACCCACCTTTGTTCCATTGAATCCCTCATTAAAATTAAATTTTTTTCCTTGTTAAAATTCTGTTTTTCCCATAAAACCAAATAGAACATCACAGCGATGACACCCACCTTCGCTCCATTGAATCCCTCATTAAAATTCAATTTTTTTTCCTTGTAAAATTCTGTTTTTTCCCATAAAACCAAAAGAACATCACAGCGCTAACACCCACCTTCGCTCCATTGGATCCCTCATTAAAATTCTATTTTTTTCCTCGTTAAAATTCTATTTTTCCCATGAAAATGAAGGAATGGCCCAGGTATAATCCCCATCTCTGTTCCATTGGATCCCTCATTAAAATTCCATTTTTTTTCCTCGTTAAAATTCTGTTTTTTCCCATAAAACCAAAAGAACATCACAGTGATGACACCCACCTTCGTTCCATTGGATCCCTCATTAAAATTCCATTTTTTTCCTCATTAAAATTCCGTTTTTCTCATAAAAACAAATGGATGGCACAGTGATAACACCCACCTTCGTTCCATTGGATCCCTCGCTAAAATTCCATTTTTTTTCCTCGTTAAAATTCTATTTTTGCCATAAAACCAAATAGAACATCACAGTGATGACACCCACCTTTGCTCCATTGGATCCCTCAATAAAATTCCATTTTTTTCCTCATTAAAATTCCATTTTTCCCATAAAAACAAACGGATGGCACAGTGCTAACACCCACCTTTGCTCCATTGGATCCCTCATTAAAATTCTCTTTTTTTTCCTCGTTAAAATTCTATTTTTTCCCATAAAACCAAATAGAACATCACAGCGATAACACCCACCTTTGCTCCATTGAATCCCTCATTAAAATTCAATTTTTTTCCTTGTTAAAATTCTGTTTTTCCCATAAAAACAAACGGATGGCACAGTGATGACACCCACCTTCGTTCCATTGGATCCCTCATTAAAATTCCATTTTTTTTCCTCATTAAAATTCTATTTTTCCCATAAAACCAAAAGAACATCACAGCGCTAACACCCACCTTCGTTCCATTGGATCCCTCACTAAAATTCCATTTTTTTTCTTTGTTAAAATTCTGTTTTTTCCCATAAAACCAAAAGAACATCACAGTGATAAACCCATCTTTGTTCCATTGGATCCCTCATTAAAATTCCATTTTTTTTCCTCGTTAAAATTCTATTTTTTCCCATAAAACCAAAAGAACATCACAGCGATGACACCCACCTTTGCTCCATTGGATCCCTCGCTAAAATTCCATTTTTTTCCTCGTTAAAATTCTATTTTTTCCCATAAAACCAAATTAACATCACAGTACTAACACCCACCTTTGCTCCATTGGATCCCTCGCTAAAATTCCATTTTTTTCCTCGTTAAAATTCTGTTTTTTCCCATAAAACCAAAAGAACATCCCAGTGCTAACACCCACCTTTGCTCCATTGGATCCCTCATTAAAATTCCTTTTTTTTCCTCATTAAAATTCTGTTTTTTCCCATAAAACCAAAAGAACATCACAGTGCTATCACCCACCTTTGCTCCATTGGATCCCTCGCTAAAATTCCATTTTTTTCCTTTTTAAAATTCTGTTTTTTCCCATAAAACCAAAAGAACATCACAGTGATAACACCCACCTTCGTTCCATTGGATCCCTCGCTAAAATTCCATTTTTTTTCTTCGTTAAAATTCTATTTTTCCCATAAAAACAAATGGATGGCACAGTGATGACACCCACCTTTGTTCCATTGGATCCCTTGCTAAAATTCCATTTTTTTTCCTCGTTAAAATTCTATTTTTTCCCATAAAACCAAAAGAACATCACAGTGATAAACCCATCTTTGTTCCATTGGATCCCTCACTAAAATTCCATTTTTTTCCTCATTAAAATTCCGTTTTTCCCAGAAAAACAAACAGATGGCACAGTGATGACACCCACCTTTGTTCCATTGGATCCCTCATTAAAATTCTCTTTTTTTTCCTCGTTAAAATTCTATTTTTTCCCATAAAACCAAAATAACATCACAGTGATGACACCCACCTTTTTTCCATTGCATCCCTCATTAAAATTCTATTTTTTTCCTTGTTAAAATTCTGTTTTTCCCATAAAACCAAAATAACATCACAGTGATAAACCCATCTTTGTTCCATTGGATCCCTCATTAAAATTCTATTTTTTTCCTCATTAAAATTCTATTTTTTCCCATAAAACCAAAATAACATCACAGTGATAACACCCACCTTTGCTCCATTGGATCCCTCATTAAAATTCTCTTTTTTTTCCTCGTTAAAATTCTGTTTTTCCCATAAAACCAAATAGAACATCACAGTGATGACACCCACCTTTGCTCCATTGAATCCCTCATTAAAATTCAATTTTTTTTCCTCGTAAAATTCCGTTTTTTCCCATAAAACCAAAATAACATCAAGGTGATAGCCCCCACCTTTTTTCCATTGGATCCCTCACTAAAATTCCATTTTTCCCCCATTTTTTCCATTTGCAGCCCCAGCTGAAGGAGACTCCAGCACCCCCATGGCGTTTGCAGCTCCCAAATTCCCGGCCGGCTCCAGGCTCCGCCTCAGCTCCTGGACTCCCCTGAGCCATCAGCTCATGAACGACCAGGCGAGTTCCCAAAAATTCCCAAAAAATCCCAAAAAATCCCTGAAATTCGGAATTCCTGAGCTCACCCAGGTCACCCAGCCCAGCCCCTCAAGGCAAAGCCAACTCCAGGATTTATTCCCCAAGGATTATTGGGTCTGGCTGGTTGGAAATCATCTCAAAATCCTAAATTTCACTAATTCCCAAGCCTGAAAAAATTTAATTTTTCCCCTGTGGGGGTTATGGAAATGGAATAAGAACGTGGAGATATATGATATATAAAGATATAAAAAAATCTAAAATGAATCTAAAATAAAAATATATAAATACATAAAATAGATCTAAAATACAATCTACATAAAATCTTTATGGTATATAAAGATATATATATATATATTATATATATATATATATATCTTATATATATATATATATACCATAAAATAAAAATATATAAATACATAAAATAAATCTAAAATACAATCTATATAAAATCTTTATGGTATATAAAGATATATATATATATATATATCATATATATATATATATCTTATATATATATATACCATAAAATAAAAATATATAAATACATAAAATAGATCTAAAATACAATCTATATAAAATCTTTATGGTATATAAAGATATATATATATCATATATATATCTTATATATATATAAGATATAAAGATTTATATAACATAAAGATATATAAAATCTCAAATAAAAAATATAAATACATAAAATAGATCTAAAACACAATCTATATAAAATCTTTATGGTATATAAAGATACATAAAATCTAAAATAAAAAATTAAATTCTAAAATAAATCTAAAATAAAAATTATATAAAATCTTTATGGTATATAAAGATATATAAAATCTAAAATAAAAAATATAAATACATAAAATAGATCTAAAATAAAATCTACATAAAATCTTTATGATATATAAAGATTTATAAAATCTAAAATAAAAAAATATAAATACATAAAATAGATCTAAAATACAGTCTACATAAAATTTTTATGGTATATAAAGATATATAAAATCTAAAATAAAAAATATAAATACATAAACTAGATCTAAAACACAATCTATATAAAATCTTTATGGTATATAAAGATATATAAAATCTAAAATAAAAAACATAAATACATAAAATAGATCTAAAATACAATCTATATAAAATCTTTATGGTATATAAAGATATGTAAAATCTAAAATAAAAAATATAAATACATAAAATAAATATGAAATAAAATCTACATAAAATCTTTATGGTATATAAAGATATATAAAATCTAAAATAAAAGATTAAATTCTAAAATAAATCTAAAATAAAAATTATATAAAATCTTTATGATATATAAAGATATATAAAATTTAAAGATATCTAGAAATCTAAAATAGATCTAAAATAAAATCTTTATGGCATAAAGATATAGAAGATCTAACATCAAAAGATGGTAAATCTGATTTAAACACCTCTATTTTGCCAAATAATTTGGTTTTTTTGTTAAAAATTAGGATTTCTTTTTCTGAAAATCACAAAATTGTGTTTTTTATTTTGCACCAAATTCCTCCATTTTCACCCCAGCGTGTGAGTCACAGGTGCTCATGGGAAATGGAATAAGAACTTGGAGATTTTGTTAGAAATATGGAAATATCTGACACATGATGTACAAATATATATAAAATATGGACATTTTATACAAAAAATAGTATAAAATAATTTCTTTTAAAAAATCTAACATAAAAAGATAGAAAATTCTGATTTACCTATTTAAAATCAAACAAGTATTTGATTTAAATACTTTAAAATCAAACAAGTATTTGATTTAAATACTTTAAAATCAAACAATTTGGTTTAAATACTTTAAAATCAAACACGTATTTGATTTAAATACTGCTATTTTGCCAAATCAATAGCTTTAAAAAAATAAAGTAGATTTTTTTTAAATTTTTTTTTGCTGAAAGTCACAAAATCCTGCTTTTTTAGGGTAGGTTGGAAGACTCTCATTCCTTAAAAAATTAAAATTTCACCACTTCCCTAATAATTTTCTCATGACCAATCCCTTATATCATAAAAAGATCAAGCTTTGTCTCCTGGCTGGGTACCTCTGACATTAAAATTAATTTGATTTTTCCCTTGCTCCCTAATTAAATTCCTTTTTTCCCCCTGTGGAAGGACTTTTACCCCACTTCAAGCCAACGCTTGAATTTATTTTTATTTCTGATAAATTGAAGATTGAGCTCTTTGAAGTCCTTTCAACCTGGCAAATCCTCCAGCCTCTGAATCATTTTGATGTTTCTTAAACCCTTCCAAAATTATTTCTGCAGATACAAATCTCCGTGCAATAAAGTAGGACCTAACCAGAAATTAAAAAAAAATTAAAAAAACCAAAATTTTCCCACCTTTTCTCACTTTTTAAATTATTTTTTTTTACTTCTGTGTTCCTCAGGCAGTTGGATTGAGCTGCAGCAAAACTTTTAGGGGTTAATATTGGATTGTTGAATAATCCAATGCTTGGTCGGGAATAATAGACAAAAATATCCCAGAAAAGAGCATTTAAATGAATATTTAAAAATGAAAAAATACCAGGGATGAAGTGGGAAGGCCTTTGGCACATGGGGAATGTGGAGGTGCTGGATTAAAGGTGGGGCTCAACAACCTTGGAGGGCTTTTCCAGCCTTGAAAATTCTCAGAAATTCATCATAAAATAAATTTCCTTGGTTTTGATCCTGGTTTTAAACCACTGACCTGGCTGAAAAATTCATTTTTTTATATCCCTATGCTGCTATGTGGCAAAATAAAAATTAAAAATTAAATTCAGAAATTCATAATAAAAGATATTTCCTTGTTTCTGATCCAGGTTTTAAACCACTGACCCGGCCAAAAAATTCCTTTTTTTATATCCTTATGCTGCTCTGTGGCAAAAAAAAAAAATTAAAAATTAAATTCAGAAATTCATAATAAAAGATATTTCCTTGTTTCTGATCCAGGTTTTAAACCACTGACCCGGCCAAAAAATTCATTTTTTTAATATCCCTACACTGCTGTGTGGCAAAAAAAAAATTAAAAATTAGAAATTAAATTCAGAAATTCATGATAAAATATATTTCCTTGGTTTTCACCCAGGTTTTAAACCACTGACCCGGCTGAAAAATTCACTTTTTATATCCCTATGCTGCTATGTGGCAAAAAAAAAAAATTAAAAATTAAATTAATGATAAAAGATATTTCCTTGGTTTTGACCCAGGTTTTAAACCACTGACCTGGCCAAAAAATTCATTTTTTTATATCCTTACGCTACTCTGTGGCAAAAAAAAAAAAAAAAAAATTAAAAATGAAATTCAGAAATTCATGATAAAAGTTATTTCCTGGTTTCTGATCCAGGTTTTAAACCACTGACCCAGCCTAAAAATTCATTTTTTTATATCCCTATGCTGCTCTGTAGCAAAAAAAAAAAAAAAAAAAAAAAAAAAAAAAAAAAAAAAAAATTCAAAATTAAAAATAGCTGCCCCAAAATAAGTAGTGACGTTCAGAATCAGGAGATGCTCCTGAGGTATTTAGAAATCAATTTAAATTTATGGATGGAAGGGCTGGGAAAAGCAGGGAGAGATGGGATGGGATGGGATGGGATGGGATGGGATGGGATGGGATGGGATGGGATGGGATGGGATGGGATGGGATGGGATGGGATGGGATGTGTGGGATGGGATGGGATGGGATGGGATGGGATGGGATGGGATGGGATGGGATGGGATGGGATGGGATGGGATGGGATGGGATGTGTGGGATGGGATGGGATGGGATGGGATGTGTGGGATGGGATGGGATGGATGGGATGGGATGGGATGGGATGGGATGTGTGGGATGGGATGGGATGGATGGGATGTGTGGGATGGGATGGGATGTGTGGGAAATGAACTCATCGGAGCAGCGAGTGCGGGGTGGGAGCGGTGGGAATTCAGAGCTGGTCCAAGGTGGAAATTCCATGGTTAGGAACAGAGCTCCTAGATTTGGGAATTTAGGGTGTCCTAAATTTGCTGCTTGACAAATTCTGGGTAATTCTGGGGGTGCTCCTTTGGTAGTTCCTGTAGATTTCCCTGGATTTTCCAGCATGGTAGGAGTACCTGGAGAATTCCAGAATGGTTTGGGGTGGGAGGAACAGAAATCCCACCTTGTTCCACCCCTGCCATGGCCAGGGACCACTCCCATGATCCCAGGGTGCTCCAGCCTGGCCTTGGACACTGCCAGGGATCCAGGGGCAGCCACAGCTTCTCTGGGAATTCCATTCCAGGGCCACAGCCAGGAATTCCTTCCCAAATTCCATCTATCCCTGGGAAACCATTCCCTGTGTCCTGTCCCTCCACCCCCTGTCCCCAGTCCCTCTCCAGCTCTCCTGGAGCCCCTTTAGGCCCTGGAAGGGCTCTGAGCTCTCCCTGGATCCTTCTCTTCTCCAGGTGAGCACCCAAAGCTCCTGGAAGGGCTCTGAGGTCTCCCTGGATCCTTCTCCAGGGGAACATTCCCAGCTCCTGGAATGGGCTCTGAGCTCTCCTTGGATCCTTCTCTTCTCCAAGTGAACATTCCCAGCTCCTGGAATGGGCTCTGAGCTCTCCTTGGATCCTTCTCCTCTCCAGGGGAACATTCCCAGCCTGGATCCATGGGAATTCTTCTCTCCTGGACACACAGGGATGGGAGGTGCCCCAGAAGCTGAACTTCCCACCTCATTAATTCAGAAATTCCATTAATCCCAACTTGGGTGCCTGAAATCCTGCATGGATTCAATCCCAACTCAGAGAAGCTCTGGCTGCCCCTGGATCCCTGGAAGTGTCCAAGGCCAGCTTGGATGGGGTTTGGAGAATTCAGAAATTCCATAAATCCCGACTTGGAGGCACCAGGTGCCTGAAATCCTGCACGGACTCAATCCCAACTCAGAGAAGCTCTGGCTGCCCCTGGATCCCTGGAAGTGTCCAAGGCCAGGTTGGACAGGGCTTGGAGCACCCTGGGATGGTGGGAAGTGTCAGGGTGGAACTGGATGAGGTTTAAGGTCCCTTCCCACCCAAACCATTCCATGATTCCATGGTTGCTTTAAAGGCCAAAGCCAAGGAGGCAGAATCAGGAAATCCCAAATCCTTCAAGGCCACAAAACCAGGGATGAAATCCCAGATTACTCCAGGGAGGTGCTGCAGGCGAGGATGAAGCAAGGGCAGGAGATGGAGCTCCCTGCAGGCTCCGTCCTGGGAATTTGGGAGAGGATTTGGGCAGGGATTCAGGTCTGAGGCAGAAGAGCCTCCAGTGGCACTTGCAGCAAAGGATGGAGGGAGTTTCCAGCCACTTGAGCATCCTCAAACCCCCTGAAGCCGTGGGTGTGAGGCACAGATCCCAAAACAGTCCTGGAGTGTGGGAACCCAGGACATTGCTCTGGCTGCCCTGGCAGGGGCTCAGAGACCCTGGCAGGGGCTCAGAGACCTTGGCACGGAGTCACAAACACCTGAGCCTTGGATAAAACAATTACCAACTTTGTGTGAGCATGTACAAGCCACAAGAGTTTGAATAGAATGATAGTGAATTATCACAGGGTGAAAAAGTAGAATTTTGGGGTTTTTAGAATGGGGGTTCAGGAGGCAAGATGGAGGAATCTGGGCATGTTCTGTCCTTCTTCTCCTTCTTCTTCTTGGCCTCCATCTTCTGGGTGATGGTGGCACTTTTGGACTGGTTTAGAGTAGAGCCAGACTGTCTAACATAGGTGATAGGTGCTGGAAAATTATTGTAAATAAAGTACAGGAATTTTTAGTATAAAAAGATAACACTGCCCCAAGGGTGGTCAATGTGCCTCAACCCGACCTGCAGGACAGACCTCAGCAGGTCAGAGGAAGAATATTATAGATAACAGAAAATAAACAACCTTGAGAACAAGAACCAAGAAATTCTGCCTTCTTTGGTCTCAGAGCTGCAAAAAAGAGAGAATTTGGGCAGGAATTCATGTCTGAGGCAGAAGAGCCTCCAGTGGCACTTGCAGCAAAGGATGGAGGGAGTTTCCAGCCACTTGAGCATCCTCAAACCCCCTGAAGCCGTGGGTGTGAGGCACAGATCCCAAAACAATCCTGGAGTGTGGGAACCCAGGACATTGCTCTGGCTGCCCTGGCAGGGGCTCAGAGACCTTGGCACGGAGTCACAAACACCTGAGCCTTGGATAAAACAATTACCAACTTTGTGTGAGCATTTACAAGCCACAAGAGTTTGAATAGAATGATAGTGAATTTGTCACAGGGTGAAAAAGTAGAATTTTGGGGTTTTTAGAGTGGGGGTTCAGGAGGCAAGATGGAGGAATCTGGGCATGTTCTGTCCTTCTTCTCCTTCTCCTTCTTCTTGGCCTCCATCTTCTGGGTGATGTTGGCACTTTTGGACTGGTGTAGAGACAGACTGTCTAACATAGGTGATAGATTATTGTAAATAAAGTACAGGTAGTTTGTAGTATAAAAAGATAACTCCACCCCAAGGGTGGTCAGTGTGCCTCAACCCGACCTGCAGGACAGACCTCAGCAGGTCAGAGGAAGAATATTATAGATAACAGAAAATAAACAACCTTCAGAACAAGATCCAAGGAATTCTGCCTTCTTTTTTGGTCTCAGGGCTGGGCAAAAGAGATTTTCCAACACCTTGGGGTCATCCTGGCACCAGAGACCTTGTCATTGGAGCACTCCACGGGTGTAGCTCCAAGGCCTTGGAGGAGAGGACATGGGCTTGATTTTTAGACCAAATTTGGGCCATTCTGTTGCTAATTAATGCTCCCAAGTGCCTGGAGAGGCAGAACTTTGGGAGAGCCTCAGCTCAGATGTGTCTCCAAGAACGCTGCGAGCAAATCCGCCGTGTGTCTGTGATCAAAGAGCGTAAACAGCTCCCTCCTCCCCGGAATCCTCCAACCAAAATCTCAGATCTCTGACTGTTCATCACTTCCTCGGGGCAAATCCTTTTTTCCAAATTCAGCTTGTTTGGTTTGTTGGGGTTTTTTTTTGGAGGTGTTTTTTCAACGCAAATAAAGCAAATAATAACTGTCACAAATAAAAGAAATGTCATTTTCCAGCCCTCAGCAGAGACTCCCCTGCTGGGAGAGACAGAGCTGGAGCTGTCGGCTGCTGAGGCAGACATCAGCACTGATAATGTCCCTCTCTGCAGGAACCATCTCAGAGCAAGAGCCCGTCTGCAGTTCATAATGATCCAGCGCCTCTTCCCCGTTTAATCGCCGTTTTATAAACCCGGCTCTTTTCCCCCTCCTCCTCTTTGATCTGTCTGCTGGAAAAATCACTTTTCCAGCATTCCCTCACTTCCCAGGTCACCATCCTGAGGGTTGGAGGCGGGGCTGTGGCGGTGGGGAAGCCACGTGTTGGGGCTTTGGGGTCCGGCTCCCCATGGGTAGAGGTCAAGATCAGAAATCCTCCTCTGGATTTTGATCCGGATCGTCCTCGGTGGGAGCCGCCACTGCAAAGCGGCCGAGGAACAAAGGCTGCTCTTGTCAGCCCCTTCCTGAAGCTTTCGATGACGAGTTGGGATTGGATCCTGCAGGATTTCAGGCACTCAGGATTGACGGAATTTCTGAATTAACGAGATGGGAAGTTCAGCTTTTGGGGCGCCTCCCATCACTGCGTGGCCAGGAGAGAAGAATTCCCATGGATCCAGGCTGGGAGAGTTTGGAGGGATCAGCTGGAGAGGAGAGGGATCCAGGGAGACCTCAGAGCTCCTTCCAGGAGCTGGGAATATTCACCTGGAGAAAAGAAGGACCCTCAGAGCCTTTCCAGGAGCTTTGGGTGCTCACCCTGAGAAGAAGGATCCAAGGAGACCTCAGAGCCTTTCCAGGAGCTGGGAATGTTCACCTGGAGATGAGAAGGACCCTCAGAGCCTTTTCAGGAGCTGGAAATGTTCACCTGGAGAAGGTAAGGACCCTCAGAGCCTTTTCAGGAGCTGGGAATGTTCACCTGGAGAAGAGAAGGACCCTCAGAGCCTTTCCAGGAGCTGGGAATGTTCACCTGGACAGGAGAAGGACCCTCAGAGCCTTTTCAGGAGCTGGGAATGTTCACCTGGACAGGAGAAGGACCCTCAGAGCCTTTCCAGGAGCTGGGAATGTTCACCTGGAGAAAAGAAGGACCCTCAGAGCCTTTCCAGGAGCTGGGAATGTTCATCTGGAGAAAGCAAAGACCCTCAGAGCCCTTCCAGGAGCTTTGGGTGCTCACCCTGAGAAGAAGGATCCAAGGAGACCTCAGAGCCCCTTCCAGGAGCTGGAAATGTTCACCTGGAGAAAAGAAGGACCCTCAGAGCCCTTCCCAGGAGCTTTGGGTGTTCACCTGGAGAAGGGAAGGCTCCAAGGAGACCTCAGAGCCCCTTCCAGGGGCTGGAAATGTTCACCTGGCTCAGGGAAGGATCCAGGGAGATCTTGGAGCCCCTTCCAGGGCCTAAAGGGGCTCCAGGAGAGCTGGAGAGGGACTGGGGACAAGGGATGGAGGGACAGGACACAGGGAGTGGCTTCCTGCTGGGAAAAGTGAGATTTAGATGGGATCTTGGACAGGAATTCCTGGATGTGAGGGTGGGGAAGCCCTGAGATTTCCCAGAGAGGTTGTGGCCTCCTAATCCCTGGATATTTTGTAGGAAGGGACCTTAGAGCTCATCCAATTCCAACCCTGACACCTCCCACTGTCCCAAATTGCTCCAAGCCCCATCCAGCCAGGCCTTGGACACTTCCAGGGATGGGACATCAGATCCAGGATGTTCCAGGAGTGAGGAGATGATAAATTCCCAGCAGGATCAATCAAGAGTGTAGGTGGCAGGAGAAGGGACGTGGATTCTTTCCCTCTCCACAGGAAAGGTTGGGAATGCTGGGCCCATTTCTGGGCTCCTCAGGACAAGAAATTCACGGGTTTGTGGAATAAATCCATCTAAACTATGGAAATATCCAAATCAATAAAAAGGTATTTATGGAATAAATCCATATAAAAATGGAAATATCCAAATCAATAAAAATGGATTTATGGAACAAATCCATCTAAAAAATGGAAATATCCAAATCAATACAAATGGATTTATTCCATAAATCCATCTAAAATATGGAAATATCCAAATCAATAAAAATGGATTTATGGAATAAATCCATCTAAAAATGGAAATATCCAAATCAATAAAAACGGATTTATGGAATAAATCCATATAAAAATGGAAATATCCAAATCAATAAAAATGGATTTATGGAATAAATCCAGCACAGGGATTTAGGAATTATTAAGGAAGTGGAGAACCTGATGTTTTTGGAGGTTCTGGAATCTCCATCCAATAAAATTCCCAAAATTCATGGACATGCCTGAGCTACCCCTTTAGCTGATCCTGTCAGGGAGTTTGGATTAAAGATCTCCATAATTTTTTTCCAAAACCATCCATTCAGTGATTCCATTGATATTTTCTGGATTGTTTTTCAAGCTGGATTTTTCTCAGCACGTACTGAGTCCCCTCTAAACACTCAATTTTCTTTTTTTTTTGTGTGTGTGTTTTATAGGTATTTGAAGAAAGAAGAGCCCTGCTTGGAAAATGGGTAAATTTTCTAATTTTCTCTTTCAATAGATATTTTCTACAGGCAGATTTTGGAAGCGATCAGGAGTTTATCTCATGGGAATGTAAAATTCCCCCTCTTTGGAAAAAGGGATTCACTTCCCCTGATGTGACTGCTCTGCTTTTGAGGAGAGCCAAGGAGGTGCCAGTTCCCTCAGCTCCCACATTCTGTAAGTCTTGGAGTCGGGAAATCATTGGAATGAGCTGAAATGAGATGAAAAAACCCCAGGAAATGTCTGTGAAGTCTTCAAAGTTCAGATGTTGCAGTGTGATGCTTCCATGGCCGGCTGCAGGGTCTTTGAAATCAGCAATAAACAACATTTTATCTACCAATGCACACAGAGATTGGGTTGGGTTGGAAGTGATTATTCTTTGTGCTTGATAAGTCACTGGTGAAATTTATTTTTTGCATCTCAGATGCAAAATATTTTGATTTTAAGGATTATTTGTCTTTATTTTTATTTGTCTTTATTTTTATTTGTCTTTTATTATTTGAGGCAAATATTTTGATTTTAAGGATTATTTGTCTTTATAGGAAACAATCTGTCAATAATTTGTTGCGTTTTGATAATAGGGAGTTTCAGGGAAATGAAATAATTGAGCGGTTATTGTTGAAAAACCAGCTTTTAATGGGACAGGCAGCAAGAGGAAAACATAAACCCCATCTCTTGGAACTTGCTGGGTGTCCAAAAATGCCAAAATCTGGGAAGATCCTTCCTCCAACCACTCTCACGAGTGCTGAATCATCTGGGAAGGGGAGAAATCTCAGAAAGCTCCTGGCTGGATTTTCCACCTTGGCTCCCGTGACCTTCTCCAAGTGAAATTGGGAAATTTCAAATGGGATTCAGAATTCCAAATGGGATTCAGAATTTCAAATGGGATTCAAAATTTCAAATTTCTAAATGGAGCTGCTGGAGCTTGGGTTTCACGGCTGGGATCGCACTCAGGGCAGCTGTCAGGGATTTATTCTCAAACTGGAAGGTTGAAGCCTGTCCTAACTCCTGTTCAGCATTTTCAAGGATATCCAGGTGATGGAACAGAAAAAAAAAAAATCCTCATTTAATGGTTGGACTCGATGATCTGAGAGTTTTTCCAACCTTGATGATTCCCAGATTCTATCTGCAGATGATGCCAGGCTTGGAGGGGCTTCCTGAATTTTAGAATTTTAGGGGTTTTCCTGAATTTTAGAAATGTTTAGGGGGTTTAAAAATCAGGCTGGATAAGGGAGAAGGAAAAGTGCTGCATGAAAGAGTGACACCCAAAAATTTCACATTTGAGAGAATCTGGGGATGCAGCAGTTCTGCAGAAAAAATCCCTGGGAATGAGGGTGGATCACAAACTGAATATGGGCTGAGAGCGTCTTAAAAAAGGGAAATATTCCAAAGGCTGAGTCATTCCCAGTTCTGCTCCCTGCATTTTGGGAAAGCTGGGAACAGATCAGAAGAGAGAGCAGGTCTGGAACACATGGAGAACGCCCCCATGCTGCAGGGAAGATGGAGAAGAGGTGTAAAAACACATTTTAGTGAAACACAGAAATGTCACAAAGGAGGAAGGGAGAGATCTGAGCCTGCGCTCGTGTTGCAGTTATGGAGACACAATTTAGACACAAGCAAAATCCAGAGAATTCCCTGCTGGAACAGCTTTATTTGGTTTTCCAAATAAAGCTTGGATTAAATTTGGGATGTTTATTTATTTAATTGTTTGTTTAATCCTTGCTGATTTTACTTGCATGCATCCAGGGATTTACATTTTCATTTTGTTTTTATTTTATTTTGGTGCCACAGGACATCTCTGATGTCTGTCCCAGGGTGTTGTGGTCCATAAAACACAGGTGGAGGAGCAATGAATGAGGTGACCCGAAGGGATTTAATTCCTGTTTCTGTGCACCTGACAGGAGGGTGCAGCCAGGCAGGAAAAATCCTTTATTCCCTTTATGCAGGGAATAAAGGACAGGACAAGAGGGAACAGCCTCAGCTGTGTCAGGGGAGGGTCAGGTTGGACCTCAGCAGGAATTTCTCCATGGAAAGGGTGGCCAGGGGGGTTTGGAATCCCCAGGGAAGGCCTGGATGTGGCTCTGGGCTGGTGACAAGGTGGGGACCAGCCCCAGGTGGGACTTGATGGTCTTGGAGGTGTTTTCCAACCCAAATAATTCTGTGATTTAAGCTCCTGTTTTCCCTTGTGTCCCCTCTCTGTGTGGAACTGAGCCCTCCCAGGTGAGGGACACTGCTCCAGGGCGGTGGGGCTGATCAGAGAGGGGACACAAGGGAAAACAAGAGCTAAAATCACAGAATTATTTGGGTTGGAAAAGACCTCCCAGACCATCAAGTCCCACCTGGGACTGGTCCCCACCTTGTCACCAGCCCAGAGCCACATCCAGGCCTTCCCTGGGGACTCCAAACCTCCCAGATCAGCCCCACCACAAGGTGGGAACCAGCCCCAGGTGGGACTTGATGGTCTGGGAGGTCTTTTCCAACCCAAATAATTCTGTGATTTAAGCTCTTGTTTTCCCTTGTGTCCCGTCTCTGATCAGCCCCAGCACCCTGGAGCAGTGTCCCTCAGAGCCTGAGGAGGGCTCAGTTCCACACAGAGAGGGGACACAAGGGAAAACAAGAGCTTAAATCACAGAATCACAGAATTATTTAGGTGGGAAAAGGCCTCCAAGACCATCAAATCCCACCTGGGGCTGGTCCCCAGTTTGTGGTGGGGCTGATCTGGGAGGTTTGGAGTCCCCAGGGAAGGCCTGGATGTGGCTCTGGGCTGGTGACAAGGTGGGGACCAGTCCAGGTGGGACTTGATGATCTTGGAAGTCTGTTCCAACCTAAATAATTCTGTGATTTAAGCTCTTGTTTTCCCTTGTGTCCCCTCTCTGTGTGGAACTGAGCCCTCCCAGGTGAGGGACACTCCTCCAGGGTGCTGGGGCTGATCAGAGAGGGGACACAAGGGAAAACAAGAGCTTAAATCACAGAATCACAGAATTATTTGGGTTGGAAAACGCCTCCAAGACCATCAAGTCCCACCTGGGACTGGTCCCCAGTTTGTGGTGGGGCTGATCTGGGCGGTTTGGAGTCCCCAGGGAAGGCCTGGATGTGGCACTCGGTGCTCTGGGCTGGTGACAAGGTGGGGATCAGTCCCAGGTGGGACTTGATGGTCTTGGAGGTCTTTTCCAACCCAAATAATTCTGTGATTTAAGCTCTTGTTTTCCCTTGTGTCCCCTCTCTGTGTGGAACTGAGCCCTCCCAGGTGAGGGACACTGCTCCAGGGCGGTGGGGCTGATCAGAGAGGGGACACAAAGGAAAACAAGAGCTTAAATCACAGAATCACGGAATTATTTGGCTTGGAAAACGCCTCCAAGACCATCAAGTCCCACCTGGGACTGGTTCCCCCCTTGTGGTGGGGCTGATCAGGGGGGTTTGGAGTCCCCAGGGAAGGCCTGGATGTGGCTCTGGGCTGGTGACAAGGTGGGGACCAGTCCCAGGGGGACCTGATGGTCTGGGAGGTGTTTTCCAACCTAAGTAATTCCATGATTCTGTGATTTAAGCTCTTGTTTTCCCTTGTGTCCCCTCTCTGATCAGCCCCACCGCCCTGGAGGAGTGTCCCTCACCTGGGAGGGCTCAGTTCCACACAGAGGGGACACAAGGGAAAACAAGAGCTAAAATCACAGAATCATGGAATTATTTAGGTGGGAAAACACCTCCAAGACCATCAAGTCCCACCTGGGACTGGTCCCCAGCTTGTGGTGGGGCTGATCTGGGCGGTTTGGAGTCCCCAGGGAAGGCCTGGATGTGGCACTCGGTGCTCTGGGCTGGTGACAAGGTGGGGATCAGTCCCAGGTGGGACTTGATGGTCTTGGAGGCCTTTTCCCACCCAAATAATTCCGTGATTCTGTGATTTAAGCTCCTGTTTTCCCTTGTGTCCCCTCTCTGATCAGCCCCACCACCCTGGAGCAGTGTCCCTCAGAGCCTGAGAAGGGCTCAGTTCCACACAGAGAGGGGACACAAGGGAAAACAAGAGCTTAAATCACAGAATCACAGAATTATTTGGCTTGGAAAACACCTCCAAGACCACCAAATCCCACCTGGGACTGGTCCCCAGCTTGTGGTGGGGCTGATCAGGGCGGTTTGGAGTCCCCAGGGAAGGTCTGGATGTGGCTCTGGGCTGGTGACAAGGTGGGGACCAGTCCCAGGTGGGATTTGGTGGTCTGGGAGGTCTTTTCCAACCCAAATAATTCTGTGATTTAGGTCTCCTATGGCTGCTATTTCTCTGTGAGTCTTTTCTTTTAAAAAAAAGTATCCTACATAGCACAGTTTCTACTTGAGCATTTTTTCTAACCTAAAACTCTATTTACCACACTCCTTAAGAGAATGAACCCAGCATTGCTTTCTAACACAACACACACAATATTCATTTGAATATTTGCCAAAAGCCCATCACAAAACACGAGCATTTTCCACCAAACCGATCCAGCAGGGCCTGATGTCACCCAATCCCCGCGGTGACATTGTCGTGGGGAGGGCCCCGAGAGGGGAAAAGCTGCGGGGCCAGGGAAGAGGAGAAGCCAGGGGAATCCAGTCCGACTGGTTGGGCGGCTGAAATCCTCAGCCAAATGTGGGATGGGGACTCGTTGGTGCTGGAAAAGAGACAAATCGGGCCAATTTAACCCCTTGGTGGCTGCTGCTGCTGCGTGGGGAGGAAATGCATGTCAGCAGAGATTTGGGGTGGGGAGGAAGCAGGGGGAAAAATTAAATCTGCATTTCTAATGTGCCTTTTGAATTCTGTTCCTGATTTCATTCTGATGGGGAAAAGAAGGGACACTGGACATGAAACTATATATTTACCCATATAATAAATATATTATATATATTTATATATATATATAAACTACAAATTTACCCTTAATAATAAAAATACCCAGTGCTGTGGCACTGGTTTAAATGGAATTTAAAGGCAGGCTGAGGATGATGGAAGGAATTAATTCTGTTCCCG